CCTTCCCCCCCAGCCTCTCATGCAATACACACACACACACACACACACACACACACACACACACACACTCGCTGTTCTTCCAGAGTTCCTGGGTTTCGGTTCCCAGCACCAGCTAACAAAAATCCATAACTCGGATTCCAGGGGATTCCAGGGCCTCCACCGGCACTGCATGCATGTGCAAAACACTCATATACATAAAATAACAATTTTTTTAAAAGAGAACTTTAAAAAAATTAAAAAGAAGCTATACTTTAAGAAGACTGGAGGTGGGAAAACAAAGGAATATAAAGCAAAAACAAAAAGGCCCTCTCCACATGGTCACCATCAAAGCAAAAGTATTTTTCTCCTAGGAATAAGGAAATATCTTCCACTTTATTTAAATCAAAAGGTTTATATTTCAATAACTTAATCAAAATCAATTTATTTCCACAATTTCTGAACTATAACCAAAGATTTAAGTACTGAAATAAACATGCTAAATCAAAATAAAGGTAACGATCTCAAACGTAAAGGTGACTTAGCACAAAGCAGTTATTTTATTCTACATTTTACAAACCCCCTTTCTCTCACAGCAGCAAAACTCAAGACTTACCAGGAGGTTTTCTGGCTTGAGGTCCCGGTGAACGATGCTTTTGTCGTGAATGTGGACCAGGGCCCTGCACAAGTCCTTGATCATAAGGGCAGCATCTGGCTCTGGAAACTTCACGTTTTCTATGATAGCATCAAAAAGATCCCCTCCCTGCACATGCTCCATGATCAGGTAGATTTCTGCTTCTGTTTCATAGACCTCATGCAGTTTCACTATGTTGGGGTGAGTAAGGCTCTGGATAATTAAGATCTCACTGTCAACTATATCCTCCTTACCCTTGAGCTTAGACTTGTCGATAATCTTCATGGCGTAAGCCTGCTTAGTCTCGCGGTGCTTACACTCCTTTACGATGCCAAAATTCCCATCCCCGATGACCCATCCGGTCTCATAGTACTTCTCCACATTGGCTGAGATGATACCCATGAGCCTCGGCTTCCGGCCACTGGGCCGTTCTGGCTTGTTCTCTTCCGGCCGCGTCTTGAGCGCCTTCTCTGGCACCATCTTCCTTCCTCCTGACCCACCTGGCTTCTTCTCATGGTCTGCTTCCTTCTCCTCTCCTCGGGCCCTAGGGAGCTGCTGGGGTTCAGCCTGGTGCTCTCTCAGGAGCCAGCCATCATGCTTATTCCTGCAAGTGTGTTTGGGGTCTTTCCTCACATCCACCAGCCCCTCTTCTATGCCTGGTGAACCTTCCACAAGGTCCTTCTGAGCTTTGGCTGCTCCCTGAGGGCGACTTTCCTGACCCTCTGGGCTTCTGTCCTCTTTCTTATCCAAGTTGTTGCCGGGTCTTCTCAGCTCTTGAGGAGGATTACTGGGGCTGCTGCGATGGCTGTCATCCTTCCAGCCTTCCTCTCCATCTGCAGAGTTTGCCTCAGAAGCCCTCCTACAGCTCTTAGTCCTCACCAACTTCTCAGCATCCCACCTCTGCCCCCGCCCCAGGTCCAGCTCACTGGTTCCCAGGGGGCGCCGCTCCCTCTGCGGGCCGAGCTGCAGCTCCCTCTCCCGCTTGCACTTCTCACACCTGACAATCTCCCCGGAGGTCTTTTCAATCTCCACCCCCAGATGCTTCTCTCCACTTGCAAGTGTCCCCTCCAGAGTGGCTTCCCTGGGTGGCAGGCCACCAGGGTCTGGCTCCTGTTTCCCTCTTGGCCACTTCTTCTGCACTCTGACCTTGTCCTCCAAGGCCACCTCTGTGGAGGTCTTCCCAGGCTGCCTGGCAACTGCCCTGCAGCCCGCAGCCTCACTACCATTTCCCATCTCCCCACAGCGGTGACCTCCTTTCAGAAGCTTGCTGGGAAGTCTACTTCTCAGCCTTGGGGAAGGGACTCGGCTGTGTGGGGCCAGAGCCAGGGCCCGGTTCCTGTTGGGATACAGCTCCTCCATAGCCAGCTGAATGCTCTTCAGTGTCAGCGGCTCTTTGCCCATGGCTATGAAAGCATCACCCTCCCTAAAGAAGTCTGACACACTCTTGACTTCTCTGCCCTTGAGGGTGAACAGCTTCCTTACCCGGTCACTCTTCCATCTTGGAAAGCCCAGGGCTTCGGAGATGTCAGCTAGGAGCTGCTCGAAGGTCTGCACTGACCGCCTGTTGAGAAGCAAGGTGGCCTTGCGGAGGGACTGCCCACCCAGCTTCACCACCGTCACCACCCTGGGCTTCAGTGGGCTGTGCTCAGCTCAGACTGAGTGAAGGCCACTCTGAGGACTGAACATGGGCATGATGGCACCACGCGGCCCCAGGACTGGTTTCTCCAGAGGCCCTCGGCCTGCAGGTGACCAGGAGCCTTGCATCTTTCGCTCAGAGATTTTTGAGCTTAGGCATTTTAGAGAATGGTCACAGGGCCCTCGGTGTCCTGCAACAGGATAAGGCAAGAGAGTATTAGTCCAAGTGGGTTTAAAAAGTCCTTTGGACCCCATCAAAGAGCACCTGACTAGCACAGGAAAGGTACTGGGTTTGATCCCCAGAACCACATAGATTGCTATTCTACTGTCACTGTTTAATAATTGTATGAAATGATGAAGCCTGTAAGCTTTAGGTCTGAGCCTCGGTCTCTATGAGAAACCAAAAGCAGAGAATGGGGGTAGCCTTTCGCTAGGGTGACTCTTGCAGGGCCCTCTCCCTAGCCAGACCATACCTAGGGGATCTTCTAGAGTCAATCTGGCTCAGTTAACACAATTCAAGACCCAACAACATTCCAGAACTCTAACGATGTCAGATCTTTCCCATCCTTCTACCAAGGCTAGTTTCCCCAGCTAGATTTTCAACTCTCTCAAGGAAGGCAATATGGGAATAGGGCATGACCACAGCATTTGAGATAGACCTGAACCTCCATCCTGGAGTGGCCCCTAACTAGTTCTATATACTTGGGCAAATTATTTGTGCTTCAGTTTTTTTCATCTATAACATAGGAAGTATAACAGTTTCCCCCAGGGTTTTGGAGAGTAAATAGCAAAGTGATCACAGTTAATTATTTATTTATTTATTTATATTTATGTGTACAACTGTTTTGCCTACATGTATACATGTACCACATGCACACACTATCTGTGGAGGCCAGAAGAGAGTGTCAGATCCCCCCAAAACTGGAGTTATAGATGGTTATTAGCTACCCTATAGGTTCTGGGAACTGAGCCCTGGTCCTGTATAAGAGCGGCCAGTACTTTTAACCACTGAGCCATCTCTCTAGCCCCTGATTATATCACAAACTACCAACACAAAGTCAGTATAATCACTAGTTATCAATATTGACATTATACCCTTAGTATCACTTTTGTGTTATAATTTCATTCAACTAAAGTACAAGTCTATTGTGTACACTTCTACCTGGCATCACAAGCCCTGATACAGTGGGGATTTCATTTTTAATTTTTTAATTATTTTTATTTTATATGTAGGAATGTTTTGCCTGCATACATGTAAGTGCACCATGTGCATGCAATGCCAGTGAAGGCCAGAAGAAGACATTGGAGTCCCTGGAGCTGGAGTTATGGACAGTGGTTCATTATCATGTGGGTGCTGAGAAATGAAGCTAGGTCCTCTGCAAGAGCAGCCAGTGCTCTTAAACACTGAGCCATCGCTCCAGCTCAAATGGGAATTTCTTAAAGCTTACATTGAGATGCTTTCACATCAAATGTTCATGTAATAACATTGAAGGAGGTTTCAATACAGGTATAGAAACATTTTTCTCTAGAAGAGTCTTTTCTCTCATTAAAATAAGAAAAGGGAACCTGGACATAGTTCAATGTTACTCTGTGTGCTCACTCAGCACGTACAAAGCCCTGGGTTCCATCCCAGTACCAAAAAAAAAAAAGTTGTGTATGGTAGCATACTTGTAATCCCAGTTCTGAGGATGCTGAGGGTTGCCATGAGTTTGAGGGCAGCCTAGACTACACAGTGAGTACCAGACTAGCAGGCTACAAAAGGAGACCCTGTCTCAAACAAACCAGGAATGGTGGCACATATCTTTAATCCCAGCATTTGGGAGGCACAGGGAAGTGGATGGATCTTTGTGAGTTTGAGGCCAACCTGGTCTTCTTAGCAAGTTCCAAGCCAGCCAGAGCTACATAGAATTTAAAGTAGAAGGTTAGAAAGGTGGCTTAGCCATTAGGAGCATACACTGCTCTTGTAGAGGACCTGAGTACAGTTAGCATCCATATCAGGCAGTTCACAACTTAACTCCAGCTCCAGGGGATCCAACCTCCTTTGGACTCCAAAGGCACCTGCACACACACACACACACACACACACACACACACGCACGCACACACAC